TTTACTTAGGAAATTCTTGGCAATCTCTGCCTTTCAAAGAAATACTCTAAACTACATCTAAATTAATCTAGAAGGAATCTTCTCCCCCATCACTGCAGGTAATTCTACAAAATTGAAACTTTTGAGATAAATAACCACTACATTAAACTTAGCATTCAGGAGAACCACAGTTTAGAGTCCAGAGCGATAATCTGGTGAAGTAAGTTGGTGTAATGACACATGACTGAGTACACTGTTAATAAAGTAACTTTTAGTCAAGATGTCCATAAGGAATCCTTAAAGCATGTTAGCTCATGTAAATAATGACTAGAAAGTTAGACTCATAAGACATAAGTGATAGTTTCCTCCCATTGATTGAAAAGACTGAATGACTGTTGATTAAATGGATCTGAGGATTAGGTGTTTTCTAGATCAACTCTTTTACTCTAAATGTTCTAAGATCTGGTCTTGAAGAAATCCTTTCATAAAACTAAAGATTCTGTTCCTATTTTTCCAATCTTTCAGGAAATGAAAGATCTCAGTAGAACCACTTTTCCTTGAGACATACAATGGATGTGTTTTACCCACTAAATGCTTTGTTTCTTCACTTTTTTCTTCAAAGCTGTTTGAAGTTGTGATATTAGTGTTGTGATTTTTGTTTTCACATAAGAAAGCCAGAGCTCAGACTCTGCCATACCTCTTCAAAGTTCTAAATTCACTTCAGTGAATTCTGAAGCTGGATAAGCCAGAGCTGCTTTCTGCAAGTTTAATTAAAATATGAGTCTGAGCAATAGCATGCATGTAGATCTGAACCAGCAATTTGCTGTGTTACCCAGCAAGGGGTTGAGAATTAAGGTGCTAATTTATAGACTTGTATTTGCTTCATTGTTTACAGACAACTTTTTTTTTTTCTTCCACAGAAGCAGCTGCTCAGTGGGATGTTGGTTATCTCCCAGAGAAATAATGTGAAAAATCCTACCAACTTTATTGGGAGTTGGATGGAGCCCTGGCAGCCAGTCTAGGAAGAATGCCTGCTTTGCACAGAACAGTATGTATGTGTTCAAAACGTATTTGTGTGAAGTTTGTGGAGTCCTACTGTGGAAGCACCTGTTGAAAAATTCCTATATGCATATATTTCTCTCATGCATGGTGATCATATTATTTTCTTCTATGAGAATGCATTTTTAACTTGCCCTGCTAAAAGCTCTGGTCTAGGATGAGATTAGAAACCTAGAATACTTCCAGCTTGTGAAGTCATTAGTAGTCATGATTTTAATTTAGAATTCCTTTAAATGTCTTGTCTTCCATTTGTTGATTAAATTTTTTAATCTGAAATACTGCATTTGTATTTACAAAAGAAGGAATTAATCCTGAAAAAAGTGGAAACAGGGAGATAAAAATGATTATTTTCATGTCTTTGTTTTTAAAGAGGAGCTGAAGACCTGACCTATTAATCATATGATATCATAGAATCATAGAAAAGTTTGGGTTGGAAAGGACCTTAAGATTGTCTAGTTCCAATCTCCTCTGCCATGGGCAGGGAGGACTCACACTAGACTATGTTGCCCAAGGCTCTGTCCAGCTTGGCCTTGAACACTGCCAGGGATGGCACATTTAGGACTTCTTAGGGCAACCTGTTCCAGTGCCTCACTACCCCCATGGTGAAAAATATCTTCCTTATATCTAACCTGAATTTCCCCTGTTTAAGTTTAAAGCTGTTACTTCTTGTCCTGTCATGGAAGTCCTTGTTGAAGAGTCCCTCTCTGTCATCCTTGTAAGCCCCCTTCAGGTACTGAAAGGCTGCTGTGATGCTTCCACGTAGCCTTCTCTTCTTCAGGCTGAACAGCCCCAATTTTCTCAGCCTGTCTTTGTATGGGAGGTGCTCAAGCCCCCTCATCATCCTTGTGGCCCTCCTCTGGACTTGCTTCAACAGCCCCACGTCCTTCTTACATTGAGAACACCAGAACTGCACCCAGTACTCCAAGTAGGGGTATCCATCTACTAGAATGACATTGTATAGAAGAGAGGGGGAGTACAGAGCTGGCTGGTACAAACCTGTTGCAAGAATGCCTGTCCAAAGTAGATGCCTATGTTTTAGTACATCACAGGTTTGGTATAGAGTCTCCTAGCTTTAAATTCCCTCATAATTCTGAATGATTGGTTGAAAAAATGCACCTCTGAAATTGAACATATTTTAGTAATTGAAACATTTTTTGATGTTCTTTGTATTATGCATTGCATTATGTGAGGCTAATGTAAAACAGATTTTTACTCACGTCATTTTCTATAAAAATATCTTACAATGGAGATTAGAAAGCAGTATTAAAAAATGCCAACTATAGTTGACTTCTAGAAATGACAAAGGAAAGACATCATTGTGAAAATGCTTGGCTAAATAGCATGATTTAGCAGCTCAGAGCCAGACATGTTCAAGCCTTCTGAACCAAGAGTACATAGATTCCAGAGCCTTAACCTTGGGGATGTGCTGGTGCCTCACCAGGAAATTGTAATATGTTCAGGGTTTCTGTGTCTTATTTCCTGTTCACAGTGACAGCTTGGATGATGCTTTTGTACATTGTAACAGATACTTTTGCAAGAATTGGAAAAGAACAAATCTGAGATCAACTTTCTTTGTCTTCATATACACTGTAAAAGGATCTGTGAATAACTTGTTTTTTTTATTTTTGTGGCTAATTCTTGAAAGAACTTTATTTAAAAAATATAATTACAGTAGGGTGGAGGATAATGTGTAATAGAATAGTAATATAAGTGAAAAGTATATTCTAAAAGGATATGGAAAGAAGTTTTATTTTCAGGGATTTCACCCATTCTTACAAATCAGAATTTGTAGCTCTTGTAGCAGTTAAGCTGAAGTTTTCTTTTAAAAAGTTAAACAGAATTCAAATGAACCACAAAGTGCCTTTTTGTGTGGGCAAGTGAACCTATGTGGCTTGTGCTACGCTTGATAATTCTTTTAGCATACTTGCCCTTCACCTGCCTTGCAATGACAACTGCTGGGAAAAGCAGGAAGGCTTTGTTGTAATTACAGCAGTTTGGAATGAGAGTTAATCTCGGTTAAAGAGTGTAAGTATCCTTTTTTTCCAAGCATGTGCATTTCCTTATGCAAAACCCTGGTGCTGCTGCGAAGATGTAGGTAATACAGAGCATTCCAGTACTTTAAAAATGAAACTCAAGTAAGTTAGAATTGCAATTGTTTCTTTCTTAAATATAGCCATAGATATTATTGAAATATAAAGGAACAATTACAAAATACCCATAATACTTAACTTACAACTTAAAATATTTTAGCTGCCATACTGATGCATGTTCTGAAAAATATTGATTTCTTTCTTTCAGTTTTACAGGTGATGTAACTGCCATTTTTTTCTTTAATGTATTTTTATTGTATTTTTCATTCTGAACAAAATTTGATCTATGTATTGTATCTCAGTTAACGCAGTAGATTTAAACAAATGAAGATAAATATTTGTGTTCTGCATTTATAGGTATTTAAAGGTAATTTAAAGATGACTGATTCTTTCCAGTATGCTGGGGTACTTTTGCCAAGTTGACACTGGAAAGATTTGAGAAGTAGGGAAAAATATAAGTGATGTAGAGAAGAAACTGCATTTTCTTCTAGGAGAATTTCAGAAGTGAAAAAGGCCATGTTTGGTAGTCAGGCAGCGTGTAGAGATGGAGGCGGGACAAGAAGTTAGGAGTGGTCCCTGTCCTAAAGTAGCCAAGTGAAATGAAAGTGGTATTATAAATGTATAAAAAGAATACTTTAAAAAGGAAGTGTCATGGAAGATAGTATTTTTTTCCAATAATGATATGAAGTAACATTATGAAAATACTTCGAACATGCATCCTTTTACTCAAGGATATCAGAACTTTGCAGATTTTTTTTTTAATCAGCTAATGAGAGATGGACAGTATATTTATTCTATGGGTGGAAAGTAAGAGCTGTAGGTTTGGAATATTCAGTAGCTCAGGGCAGCTGTGTGCTAGTTGAGCGATTTAACCACATTTTTAGAGCTTCACTTGAGCTGCTGAAGGCCTCATGTGGCTGAGGAAACACCAATTGGCCATGTTTGCATTTTGTGATTGTAATGGAGCTTCCTGGATAAACAGATAAATCATTTGTTCCAATTTTTAAGAAATGTTCGAAATATTAAAGATGTAGTGTAAACAAACTCAAACTAGTTTGAATCTTAGACGAAATATGTACAAGTAACAGGTTGGCTGTGGCAGATAGAGCTTAGTAGGGTGCATGAAATTAAACCCAGAAACAGTTATCTGCTCTGTTTGTATCCTTACAGGCAGCGTAGATGCACAGGAAATCCATGAGAAACATTTTTGTCTCCAAAGCCACAACTTAATTGAAAAGTTTATTGTTCATTATAGAAATTCAGCTATTATAGCTACCTAAACAGAGCTCTACTCTCGGTGCCTACTGCATAAGCATTATGTTGACTCAGAAGACACTAATGCAATGTACTTGACAGGAAACTAAAATAAGCTCCCTCTCTCTTACAACTGCAATTGTGGTGTTATCAGAGTGCTTACACAGTCATTAATGTATTTATCTCACATTATGCGGCTCACCATCAGAGTTTTGTGTGTCTAACATGATTGTTTCTATGCAAAACTTAAGTACTTGAATTAAACACAATGTAGACTTCCCTTGGAACCTTTCAATGTACATGGTGGGGTGCCATGGGTAAGTGGAAGCAGCAGCATTGTTTTTCATGCAGGAGGCAGGAAAAATATACACAGCGGAATACTCAAGTTGGTTATGTCTTTAGTATCTATGGAGATGCTAAGTGTCACTAAACAACTACAAATAACAAACATAACAAAAGAACTTTTTTTCTGAGCTGACAGCCACAAGGCTAGGTTCTGAAAGAATCCTGCAGTATTGCTGATCTCACTGTTGTCAAGTTTCCAGTTCAAGGCTTTGCTTGATGTCACTATCTAATAACTGTGAACAAATACTATTTTTAGAATTATGTCAAAGACAAACTTTCTGATACCACAAATTGTTTGTGGGGAATATCAGCCGTTGATCATGAAGGGAGACATTTGAATGAAAAAGCAATACATTAATTTTCTTTGTATGGTTTATTTAAAGGAAGACATCCAATTTGAAAAGCTAGGTTGCTTTCCAGTTTGTTGATGTGTAACAGTCACATAGAAAATTTGACAGTAATAGATCACTTTGCATGGGAGGAAAAAGCTTGTATTAGCAAATGGTTTCTCAAAAATAAATTATGGGTACCAGCTTCAAGAAAGACTTAAAAATGTAATGGCTATTGGATGTTGGGCTGAGAATATTCTTTTATACAACATAGGTATTGACAATGTGCGTTAGAAATGGTAAGAAAGAGCTTACTGTAGCCAAAGAGTTCAAACCCAGGAATATAAGACAAGGTTCTTCAAACTTACTTGGAGCAGTATATATATTCAGAAAATAGGCTTATAGCCTGAATAGTTGCAGGATTCAGCCCTTTAACCTGTAACTGGGCTGCTTGAACCATGGAAAAATGCTTCTGAGAAATGTCAAGATGTTTTTAAGTGATAGTGGCAAACTCTTGAGTTAAAACTTGATAATCATCTGGTTAATTTCCTATGTATTTAAACCAAGCTAGGTGAAAATACATACAAATTCTTCTAGAAATCTGTAACTTTTACAGGATGAAACTGTGTTCCACTTAAGAACAAGGTAGCTGCTGGTAACTTCAAGACTTCCTATTTTTTCTTATGTAGTGCTATGCTGAGAAAATATTATCCAAGCTGTTTGTAGCTTCTTACTGTAGCTCATCTTCTTGATTATGACATCTCATCATACGTAGAAATCCATGCAGTACTTTAACTCAGGCATTTCAGTGTGCTCTAAAGGAGGAACTCTTAGAAGCTGCTCAGCAAGCTTCTTGAAAGATAACATATCATGGGTTCTTTTTCAGCTGTCCTTGATTCCTGGTGACTTGTGTGTAATAATGAGTATTTGTGTTCTCTGAAAGATCTAAAAATAAACAAAAGCACTGTTATTAGCTGTCATGCTTGTGTATTTATATATAAATTTTTAAGTAGAGGATATGAAAACCCATGGGATTACAGCCCTCCACATTATGTAGTATTAAGTTCATAGTCAGCAAACCATTTATTCTTTAAGTTGGATACAAAAATAACACATCCTATCTTACGTGATACTTGAGGAGCCTGTTGCATAAACAAAACCTGGAACTCGCGCTTTTGTCTTGCTGTATTTTAAGTGAAACAATATATCCAAAGATAATTCATTAAAGTCTTAAATGTGTACTGGTGAGTAGAATTTGAAACTGCTTTTTAGATGACCCAGTTGCTGAAGCAGACTAAAATTTGGCCTCTTAGTTACATGATAGTATCTGTTGTATGGCCAAAGCAGATGGACTGCCTGATCCTCAGCATCTTTTTTTTTCCCTGTCCTCTCTGATGTCTTGCCCTTAATCTTTCAACAGTTGTACACCACATGCACTGGACAAGGCATCCATCAATGCAGTCAGTTATAGGCAGATAAGTGAGATGAAATTTTTCGCTTATAAACAGATGCTTGGAGTTCTCATTCAAATCTTCTCTTAAAATGTCTCTGTACAGCGCACCATATTAAAATCATACTGCTATTATTGACATATGTAAGTCACACACAGTGATAATGAAAAACACTCCAGTCACTTGAATTTTTTATGCTGTCATAATTACAATTATCCTTTGCATCACAGGAGTGAAATTTGAATAAATAGGATCCTTACTGAGAGCAACATTATAGACAGTTTCTATTCTTGTATTTTGTTTCTGTGAATGTTACTTAAACATCTCTAACAGATTTGGCCAAAACGGCAACATATTTGCTTTTTCATTAGCAACAGATTCTGTTATTAAATAGTTTGAAAACTGGATAATACAGAGCTTAGATCCACTGTCCTTTTATAGTAAATGATGTGGGTTCTCAGTCTTCAAAAGCAATTCTATATATGAATATATTTAAATATCTGCTTATATGCATTAATACTGTAAGTGCATCTGCCCAGGCATTCAAAAGCCCATTCATTTGGAGTTCTCTTTACATTCTTATAATGAGGCTACATGCCTGATGCCAGAGTGATTCTCCTTGGCTAGGACTTTTCTGATTATTTTTTCTTCCAAACACAGAAATATGGTGTTAAGAAGCTGATGGGTCTTCAGTCAGTCTGTAATCTGTAAGATACTCAGGTCATCTCTAGAACAAGGTATGTTTCCAGTTGTGAAGACAGTTAAAATGTATTTTTAGATTTTGTCTTAATTCTGTTAACACGGTTGCTATGTAGACAAAAGCAGAACTTTGTAATTTGATTTCATGTCTCTTAAGAAATACTGTAGTTTTTGTTACTGTCCTACAAAAATTAAATGTTAGAAAACTGAGGCAGAGGCAAGTGTTTTATAATGGAAAATGACCATGTAGCAGTGGCCTTCCTACCCAGCAAAGATGATAGAATGTAGGGCACTGAAACTTTCTGGATATGAGCAAGAGTCATTGCACAGACCCAATTAGCTGTTATGATTGAGCAGGTAAGACCTTAACTTCTACCCAAACCTTATATCTGCAGTAGTTCACTTCTCTACAGTTGAAGAGATCACATTTTATTTTACGGCAAAAGATTCAGTTTATATTGGCTCTTGACTCTTTTATGCAACAGGATACAAAAACCTCCTTTAAAAGCGAACATTGTGGATTTGATGCTCAGCAGTTTGAGCTGACTGTGCTCAGTCATTGGAGGGACCTCCTTTCTTGTAAGGTTGTTCTCAGTGAGAGAAGAACTTCATCTATTTCTTTGGACTTCCCCCTCTGAAAGACATCCAGTCTTTGCTGATGGAAGGGTACTATTTGGAGGTGTACATGTCTTTCACATCTAGTGTGAGCAAATTTTATTCTATCTATGCACAATGTTATTGGAAATGGTCACCTATGTGATATGGATAGAAAGTTGCTGATGATCATATGTGGATTACTTCTGTTTCTCATCATCAGTTTGGTATCTGTCCCGGGTTTATGATCTTTTCTGTTCAGGCTTTTTCCTCTTGTGAGGAATGAGTTGAGTTAACATGTCTGTATGTTTGAAGCTGAACTGTATGTTTGAATCTTGGCTGTTACAATGACCAGAGATTCTTACAGAAGTTTTCCAAGTTGTACTGTCTGGGTTTTGAACCAGTTTATGCTTGGCAGTGTGTTGCTATTGCCCTACTAGTGAAGGCGTCTGATTCAGAAAGGCAGAGCCAATGCAGAATTGCTGATGTTTTACACTGCTAGCTCTTCAGTCTCTCAGCAAACATCAGGTGTAATGCCAAGAAGATAGCTAATCATGGGCTTATGTAAGTAGTGCCTCAGTTTAGAATCATAGGATCATAGAATAGTTAGGGTTGGAAAGGACCTTAAGATCATCTAGTTCCACCCCCCCTGTCATGGGCAGGGACTTCTCCCACTAAACCATGTTGCCCGAGGCTCTGTCCAGCCTGGCCTTGAACACTGCCAGGGGTAGAGCACAATTAAAATGCAAAATGATGATTTTTGGCTTCACAGAAAGCAAATAAAGCTGATTTTCAGGATTCTGTTTCTCAGTCATCATTGGCTTTAACTCAAGTTACTTTAGTGAGAGTTTTAGTTTTACAATTACCTAGAAAAATTACTAGACATTGGTGAAACATTGTTCTATCCTTGGAGAACTAAGATACTTTGTGAGGTTATCAAGTTCAGTTCATTTGGACATTATATTTCACATGAAATATCTAGAATTAGTATGAGTCGTGTACTGTAGGACTGTTCTGATAATCAGGCACCCTCAGCACTGATGGTCTTAGTCTTTGTTTCATTTAATGATTGACTCGAAAATCTATCATAAAACCATAAGATTATCTGATCAGAATACAACCAAGTAAATAAAGCTGTGTCACTGACAATACGGAAGAAAACCTGTGTGTGTTTTTTTGCAGCTGAAGAGCCTGCTGGAGGTCATGTGCATTTGCATTGTAATGGCAGAGATACACAGAAATAGTTTTGTGTTTGGAAAAATGATTCAGCAGTTTCTGTTCATGTTGAGGCCTTACCTAAAATAATTCTGACAACACGTGGGTGTTATTTCTTGGATGCCAGTCATAGTCCATGTATACAGCCACTTAAAGATAAAAGTGGAACTTAGTAATTACAGGAGTCCTTCAAGGTGTTGTACATATGTATGCTTCACTTTTTGTTCTTCAGAGTCTTTCAGAATCTTTCGCAGATGTTTTTGCTTGCAAATTTTGCTTTGGAGAGAGACCTGAGTTGATGCCTGGTTCATTTCACCCAAATATACTCAACATGGGGAAAGAATTCACCCAAGTAACTGGGCATAGCATGTCTCTGAGAACACCTGACCGAAGCAAGTGGTTCTGTTGTCATGACCAAAGTTTTTCTGTTGGTGGAGTTCTTTGGTATTGTTGGTTTGTTTTTTTGTGTGTGTTTCTTAATGTGTGTTTCGAGTGCCTGAGAAACCTTTTCAAATGAAGCACATAATTTAGTATGGAAGTATTGCTTACATGTTTTTTGGTGCACTAGGCTAGAAACTGAATCAAGAGATGTATATTAAAACAGTTGTTGAAACAACAGTACATTGTGTGTATTTTTTTTGTATATAAATGGAAGAGCTAGATCCTACAAAAAAAGGTACTATGCCAAAAGGAAGTAAAGGCCATGGAAAAAATGCTACTATATTTACTTCCAGAATTGTGAACTCTAGGCTACCTGAGGAGGTGTTCAGATAAACAGATATAGTAGCAGATGCTTATTTTGATAGAGCAATTTTTCAATGATGGATGTCACTTGTGGTGCATATTGGCAATGTCTGGCATCATTGTGATACTTGAGGATCATCTCTGATCTGCAGGATCATCTCTACTGCACAGCTAACTTCCTGCTGACTTTATTTTTCCCAGTGTTTGGCTCACAGTGGAATATACAGTAGCTTAATAATAACTGTGGTTATTTTCCTTACAAACATCTTTTGTCAGCCTCACAACATATCCATAAACAAAATCATTTTACAGGGTTGTGAGCTTCTTGAGTTCTTTTCAGTGTTCACAGTAGCTTCCTTTGGGTTTGCCTAACAAATTTCATACTGGGGGCCTGTGTTGACTGAAGGGTTACTCTGATCTTTTTTTCCTGTGTTTCTGTACTTTAGAAAACTTTAAATCAGACTAGAAGAATTTAAAAAAAAAAGGATTTTTTTTATCATGATTTTCTCTCAATTGTTTAGGAAACCTAAAATATAAAGGGCTTTTATTATGTTGTAGCTTGTGAACACATTTGCTAACATTAAACTTTTTTTTTGTTCTTGTTAAAATTAGCTTATTTAACAACCACAGCATACTGAAAATTGTCACCTTTTATCACTTTGGATAAAAGCTTCTCTCCAAAAGAGAAGTATTATTGACAGTTGTAAGTATATTTCTGTAATTATCTCCCATAGCTCTTCTGAGATGCTAGGAGTAATTTTATTTTACAATTATTTTCTCTTAAAACACAAATACTCAAAATATGTAGCTCACTTTTCTGACTACAAAAGTATGCTCAAAAAAGAAAAGCTGAAGTAATGCCCTGTTGATCTCAAAGACAAACCTTGTAGAATGCCTGTTAAAGGGTATCTTGTATTAGAGAAATGATGGAAGGTGAGAGGGATTCAGTCTGGAAATGATTACTGAACTGGCAAAGCTGAAACTGTGTTTTGAAGTATATTCCACTGCTATTTTTTAATTCCTCTGGATATTTTTTATCTCAAAAATGACCATTTGCAGACCTTTTGAATGTTGCACTGTTGGCACTTAGTGCAGATAGAATAGGTTCTCTTGTACTAATACCATGTGCCAGTACTTCCCTGACTTGCCTTGTTTCAACCTAAATGGTTCAAGTTGTCCAGCTGCCTTTAAGTATTCCTTTCTGCAAAAAACATTAAATTCCTTGCTTTTGTGTTACTAGGACTGGGATGCCTGGTTACACCAGTCCTGTTTTGACTGGCATTTACATAGCATGGCATTTAATTTGGCACAAGTTTTTTTTTGTATAGGTTGGAGTTTATTGCTCCCTTTTTTTTTTCCTATATGATTGTAGGGAAGATTGTGTCTTGGGGAAAGACAGAATCATTGTACAAATCTGCTTAGTACACAGGATGAAGTGTAGGGGGCAGATCTCCAGCTGAGGATCTGCTCATAGGAATATTGATGATATACAGACAACTTTGCTGATATTTTTGGATTCTCTTTGATCCAAATTCTTAGCTCATGAGACATCAACACTTATTTTTCATTTTCACGTCAACTGTTATGTTTTCACTCCAACTCCCTGACAGCTTTAGACTGTCTGCTCATGATATAGGAGGAATGAAAAGAACAGCTTTATCATGAACAGAGTATCACTGGTACTGTCTCCTACTGCTTTTCCTGTTTCTTTTGGAATGGAGGACCTATTTTAATGGTGTGTAGGAGGCTGATGAGCCCCGGGTATCTTTGGGGAATTTATAATAAACCACAGAAAATACAGCCTGTCTTGGAAAATAAGGAGAAAACTGTTTTGTCATAGCAAAATGATCCTTTCTTGTGTGAATTTGGATCCTGCTCTCTTGCTATATTGGAGTAGGTTTGTTCAAAGCAATTGCAGGACTTCCATTTAGTATAGACCCAGATAAAGTTCAAGATGCAGTTCTTAATTTTATACCAGAAAAGAAATGAAAAATTACTGTGCGTTCTTTTAGCTTTCTGGCTGTTTAGATACTGGAATGTTATATAAGCAATCATGAAGTTGAATTTTGCTTATTGCTACTTTCTAGTAGAATCTTGGCTGGAATAGAAACTTGGCTGGAATGAACAGTAATGTCATTTGGTCTATAAACAGATGAAAGATTTAAGAATCCGTCTGCTCGATATATTTAATGTATACACAGCTATTTAAAAGTTATAAAACTGCTGGAATGCATCAGGTGTTTGTTATAGAACTTTCAAGTTTAACTTATATAAACATATTCTGTATGTCCTGTGGACAGGGAATGCTTATAGTCGTGATTCTCTTCCATTTAGGAATGGAGCAGAATGACAAGAGTCTTGTGGATTTAGTTACTATTCCAGGATTATAGCTACAAAGCAGACAAAGTATTATGTGGTGCCAAATCAAACACTTTGCCAAACTAATAAAGGAAAAAATTATTAGTTTTACTATGAACAAAAGTCTTTAATAATCACTGATCCCAGTGTTTAGATAGATTTCTGAAGGCTTTAGACTTCCTCCTTCTGTGCATGTGTAGCACATTTATGTGTTTCTTAATGTTTTAAAGGAACATAGTTTAAAATGGTGCTTACTGAAAACCAGTATGCTTAGATTTTTTTCAGTGGGAGAAGGTGCAAAGATGCATTTAAAGCTTTGAAAATCATTCCAGATGATGGAAATGGAACTTCAGATTCTGTGATGAGGGGTATCTCTGCATAGCACAGGGTGGGTAAGCTAACCAGCCTGTGCAGGTGATCCCACTAATTTAACTTCACTGCTTCTAAATATGGGTCAGTACATTAGTAGTTAAGGTACATCTATTTGGCTCTGTATTGTACTGTCCCTTACCAAAAGTAATGGATGGCTTGTGTTGAGCTATGAATGTCTTATTCAAGAGCCTATTAATTTCCTGTGTGGAAAAAACCTCAAAGTATTTGCTATTTCACATGTAGGAATACTGATTTTCTGTTTATTTAAACTGCTGTGTCTGACTCTAAAGCATCCACACTGACTAAGAGTAGTGGTAAAGTGCTTTCCAGGCAGACTCTTCTGCGGAATTTTGTGTTATGAAGGGAAAAGATGTTATGAAATAGGTTTCATAATAAACTTCAGACTTTGACTTTTTAATGTTGAAGCCACATATTGACTAACAGTTCCTGTAGTAAAAATAATTAATATATGAATATCTGCTTGGTGCCTACCTTGCAGTTCTCTCCTCATCCCTGCCAAACTCAGAAACATTAGGTGACTTCTACAAAAGTGTGTGTAGATAGGAAGGAGCACAGAAATAGCAGTCCAGGCAACTGTGTATACATAATGTGCTGGAGTTCAGGCTTGCTCATTTCCAAATGAGTATTTAGAGCTTAAAAAAAAGACTACTTCCAATAATGCTAGACACTTAACTTTGTCAGCTAGAGAATGAAATATGGGAAGTACTATAGAATACTGTAGAGAAGCATACTGTTAATGTTGGGTTTAGATATGCTTTGATGTGTAAATTTATTTTGAAATTGATCATAGAATCATAGAATGGTTGGGTTAGAAAGGACCTTAAGATCATCTATTTCCAAACCCCTGCCTTGGGCACGGATGCTACATTTTAGACCATGTTGCCCAAGGCTCTGTTCAAACCTGGACTTGAACACTGTGAGGGATGGAGCACTTGCCCCTTCCTTGGGCAACCTGTTCCAGTGCCTCACCACCCTCAAGCCACTGTAGTTAACTTTATTTTATACAGCAGAGTTTAATGTATGATGTTATTTACTGAATGGCCAGATGGGTCTACGAGTACCTGTTTTTTAAAAAGTCTTTGGCTAGATTATTTAGAAATCCAAAGCAAGACTTTGTGAATAACAATGATGTGTTACTGTTTGCAAGTCATATTCACGTGAAGCCAAACACTTTTCTTGGCTTAAGAGCTGTATTTCTTCAGTAGAAAATAATTTCAATACCAAATACGGAACCACAACTTTGACTTCTCACTCCATTTCACAGCCTGCCAGAGATACCCGTTGCTAGCAACTAGCTGGGGGTTTTAATAGTGCTCATTGGTTCCTTTAGAATGTTACCTAGCAGGTTTCAATGTGACTTGTTACTTTTAACAAAGGCATCCCACAGTTCAGGATGTCTTCAGAATGATGAAGTGGAACAGGATTGTGCTTTACTTTTATACTGAGCACAACCTGGTAGCCAAGCTTTTGTTGGGACTAATATTCTTTAATTGTTGATTTCATACATACTAGATTAATGGTAGATTGTCTAGACAGTGTCACTTAGATATGAGTGAACTATGAAATACAGCATTTGTTCAGGATATAAAACTGAAGACTATGGATCTAGGATTCCATTTAGATTGCTAGTAAAGATTAAAACTTCCATCTTGATCAACTTCTGTTTTGACCTAAGCTTTGGTCTGCAAATTATCTGGAGAAATAATACTGAAGATAATTACAGTTCCTACAACAGTTTTCTTTAAAGATTATCCAAATGCATTAGTGCACCTGTAAAACTAAATAAAATTAAGCTAAAGATGCTGCAACTAATGTACATTTCCCCACTTAAGTACAGAAGACAGTAGAAATGGAAAAATAGTGTGTTCTGCCTGTAAATGAAAATGCTGCTATTGAACTCTTTCCAGAACAACATGTACTTGGATTGTTATTAAAGTATTAAATATTGTGTGTGTCTAAGCCAAACGACCTAGTACACTGATAGTGCAGAGCATATTTCACAGTTACAGAAATACCTAAACTGTTTTTTCAGTCTATAAAACAAGTAAATTAGGATTTAAGCTAAAAGCAAAACAAATGTGTCTGCCTTAAATATTTTCGTTCTGAAATTGACTCCAGTAGCT